AGCCACTTCTCGGCGCCAACAAAGGTTTTGCCATTGTCGGAATATATCTTCTCCGGACGCCCACGGCGCGCGATGAGCCGTTTTAAACTTCTTAGGAATTCACTGGTCGCTAGGTTTGGTAGTACTTCCAGGAGTAATCCTCGTGTAAGACTGCATGCGCACAATGCAAGATAGGCCTTTCCTTCTGTTTTTGCTCTGATACGGTACTTGATGGGCCCTGCAAAATCAACTCCGATAACCTCGAATGGGGTGCTCCCCTCTGTGCGTAAGTCGATTGATAAAATCTTCCCTACATGCTTCACGACATTTCTTGGCGCGTTCACGTGCTCTGGAAGTCCTTGCTCCCATTTCTTCCATTTGGCTTGTAAGTCACTTGGTAGGGGGCTATCCCACGCGAACTTCGTGTCGCAGGCATCTCTGAAGAGCATTTTTCCAGAGAGGGTCACTGGTGAAGCCAGACCGAGTGGATCGTAGATTTTTGCGACTTTTCCCAGGATGCCCCTTTTTGTCGGCTCAGCGGTTGAAATTGTTAGAAGTAAAATCTCTGACACACGTTGTTTGTTATAAGAGTGACACTGCAGATGACACTACCAAGCTGTCAATCTTCTTGTATCGTCATCGTTCCATCTCAGCCAGCGAATCACATTAGATTACGTATGACAGTTCCTGTCTACTAGGTATGCGCCTTCGAGTTATTTGCGCAGTTACAAAATCATTTTCCACCTTAAATTTCTTATTCTTACAGTCGAGATAGGCCAGAACAGAAACGAGATTGGTAATATAAAAATCATAACCATCCTATTGACGGAATATTATTCACATCTAAAGGGGTATCTTAAGAGAAAATTGCCTTAGAAGACCGTTACATAACAACATCATGATTACAAAAGTTGGAGAAGAAGGGGCATTCACAAGTACCGCCCCCAAGTTGCTACGTGCTAGTCATAATAACTATCTAATTGCAAAACGTGAAGGTATCACACGTTTACACCTTTAAGAACGAGAGGTGTCGAACGTGACCTTTTACCAGAGAGATTCAATCTTCCTAGACCAACAAATTAACTTAATTAATAACATAGCTTTCCCAAGACACTATCACGAGTTCTAATTACCATAGAAACTGAACAATTGTTTCCATGTCAACTTCACTATCATAACGAGGAAAACGTGACCAAACTCTACCTTTAAGATAAGGCTTCCAAAAGGAATAAGAAGTAATCAACCTGCCTTTTTATAATTTTTTTGCAGGAATGGTTTAAAGTAATACAATATTTCCAGTCCTTTCCTCGACACCAATATAAGGAAACTCTTACGATATTTCAGATTAAATATAGTTGTATTTTTATCGTTTAACAAAATCGGGAAGCTGACTTGAATTTCGTCCTTTTCTTTGTCCCAGGGGACTCCCAGCAGTTTTGATTCGCTCTTTCTGGTTCCCAGTTGTTGTTTGGCGTAACCCTGACTTTCTTCATCTGAAGTCGCAGTTTCAACTTCTAACTCCCGATTGTTGGAATGCCGCTTGTGCAGCTTGAAAGTCGCCTCACCAAAGATTGTTGTGGCTGTCATCTTGATTTCTAACGCTTGTTTTGTTGTCTCCCCTCCACTGATTAAATCATCTACGTACATACTGCGCTCTATCTCCTCCACTAGTTCCGGGTTCACCATTTTGTATCGCTGTAGATGTTCTTTGATAACTGCGGCCAAGAGGAATGGAGATGGTGCCAAACCAAAGAGTACTTGAGTGAATCGCAAGGTTTCTACCTATTTGCTTGCCAGATCCTTTATCCAATGAAAGCGTAAGGCATCTCGGTCTTCTCTTCGGACGCGAATTTGCAAGAATGCTTGTTTTAAGTCGCCAGCTATTGCCACGGGATAGAACCTATTTCGTATCAGCACGTTCCAAAGCTGGTCCTGTAGTGGAGGGCCGATTTCGAGACACTCGTTGAGTGAGGGGGCACTTGCATTTGCTCTTGCAGAAGCATCATAAACAATGCGTATCTTTGTAGATTCTGCGTTCTCGCGCAAGACCGCTTTATGAGGAATGTAGAACTCTCTTCCGTCCTTGACCACCTCGTCAGCGCGTTCTACGATCCCTTGACTCAGTTGAGTCTGGATAATGTCGTTGTACCTCTCCAGCTCACCTTGCATTTCTAACTTCCGCACAAGATTTTTGAGACGTTTTAAACTTTCAATGTAATTGTTCGGTAGGGGAGGATGGTTTCCCAGGCTTTCCAGGGCAGGCTCGTCTCGTACCAGCCTTCTGAACTCCTGGTTAGTTTCTCTTTGAACTCTTCGTAAACGGTTTCCTGCAGATCTGGCAGCCAGAACGGCATTTGCACTCAGCAGCGCGGTGTCGACTTCCTGTGCAATTAAAACACAGTTGTTTCAGACCTAGTTGCTTCCTGCGGTCTCCAACTGTCACAAACTTATTACAATTTACAGCTTTGTGGTCAGTTGCGTCACAGTAGACACACCCTCTTTGTGTTGGCGTTGTTTCGTTTGCATGAAATGTTTTTTCGCGAGCGCGGAATTTAGCACCTTGCTTCCTTGCATTATCCGTGCCGCTCACAATGGGGTTGATTTCCTTCCAACTTTTCAAAGCTTTTATCAACCGTGGGAAGTCTCAGTCCTGCCAGTAGATTTGTCTTTTTACTAGATCTGTTTTTACACCCTTTAGTTTGTCGAGCACACTCCTTGCATTTCCAGTCACGTTTTTCAATTTGCTCAGTGTCTCCAAAGATTGCTCATTTTACACGAGCTTCTTGTAAAATTCGTGGATAGGCACAGGTTGTGTTCCTGTAATGATAGGCAAATTTGCGATGTTCTGGACTTATGCATTTACGATCTCACGCGTTTTCCCATATTCGCCGATGAGGATATTCTTTGCCCTCTCGTAGACCTCTGTTGTGAAAGGCAGTCCGTCTATCTCTGCTCGAACCTTTGGATCTACCAGCTCTTTTAGGTATGCAAACGGCTTTGTCGTCCTTTGTTCACTCTGATTAGCCTTCTCAACAGGTTGCTGTTTTGCCTTGGTCTCTTCCAGTTGGCGTTAGAATTCTAGCTTCATCTCCGTTTGCTCTCTTTCGAATTTAAGCTCTTATTAACGAGCACGGGCTTTCCTTTCTTCTTCGTCCTTTTGCTTTCGATGTTTGATCTCTTCATTCGTCTCCACGTGCCATGGCCCCCCGGTCCAAATCCGCTTGTGATTCTAGTACAATCCGCTAGCGGATTTGGACCCCCCCGGTCCAATTCCGCTAGCGGATTTGGACCCCTCTCCGCGGATTCGGACCCCTCAACAAAACTGAGTGAAAACATCATCCTTAACGTTCTAGTACAAATGGATGATACTTTACGTTCCAGAGCGTACTAAAGTATGTTTTCAATTCAAAACATGCGTATCGTTAATGCATACGAACTGGCATCCCGTCGGATGTTTCTTTTGACCAAGGGAAAATGGGCAAGAATTTAGTTTAATGTTTGGAGAGAGGTCGTTTTTGAACCTTTTCCGCGATAGTCGAACACCGTTAGATTCAATGAGAAACAAACTTGTGACACTAATTTATTTTTTCATTGTTCAATGCCCGAGTGTTGGGACGACATGGTACAGTGCGAGGGATTTAAGACTACCTCGGAGGACGAGTGGCTCTGCATTGTCTGCAGATTGCCAGACTCTAGACGTCTTCGTAATTGTTAAGGTGTTATTTCGGATCCCTCAACAGTTAAAAATCGTTAAAATTAGAAAATAAGATTGAGTTCGATGTAATAGTCTCCACTTTTGTTAAGACGTTGACATTAACTTTGATTTGCATCTGAGAATAAGCTGAGAGTTTCAATAGTTCAGAATAGAAACATTTTTACTTATCATAGGCTTTACGAACGACTTGTAATACGAGTAGTTTCTTCGTTCCTGTTCAAAAACTGTTTAATGTTATTATTTTAGAAAATCAGACTGAGTTATTTTTGTGACTGGACGCAATAGTCTCCACTATTGTTATGACGTTTCGTACCAATGTTGATTCGCATCAGAAGAAGCAAAGATTTATTGTAACAATTTCAATAGTTCGAATGCAGTAGTTTGTTCACATCTAATACTTGCGTATACTGTACGACTCGCTAGAATGAATGCGGTAGAATTGGAACGAAATGGCTGTTGTTGTTGTTTTTTTACCTTTATTGAGGAAATGTTGTGTTGTGATTGAAAAGAACATCGACAAAAAAGCTTAAAAGGAAAGTTTGGTAGGGGGGTCCAAATCTGCGAAGGGGGGTCCATATCCGCTAGCGGATTTGGACCCCCCGGTCCAAATCCGCTGTGACACCGGCCTCGAACATGGTCTGCTCGACCCTTAGTTTAAGCGCGTCTACTTCTTTTACTAATGCTTGTAGGTTGTCGCGATGTCGCGCGACCGCTCCTAGGTTTCCCTTTTCCACAATCCCACGTGTTTTTCCATTAGTGTACCGCAACATCTGCAATTTAGCCTCTGCTTCTTTGGTTAGTTCCTCCATGCTTCGCGAGTCCTGTCAGAAGTGCCACTGTGTCGGAAATGAGACAAAAGAATCTGCTATGTTCCGAAACTTCACGTTTTATTTATAAAATCGACTTGATCTCCCTCTCTCTCTCACCGTTTTTTTGTCTCACGCTCTGGTCTCTCTCATTTTAAATATATTATATGATCCTATTGTTCAATCATCTGTCACTTATCGCAAAAAATCAACCGGAAATCAATTAACGCTGAATAATCTCTCACAGCGCATTTAACTTCCGTGATACCTTGAAATGAATACTTTCTACCTGCTATCAAAACAGAAAGTTAAAATTTCAACCAAAACCTACATTCTTGTGATTTTATGGCATTTCAGAGTACTGGCAATCTTTATATTAAAAATGTTCCTCTCACGGGCCTTAGAAGACATATCTGAACAGATCTGGATCCAGTCCAGTGCAATCCTTTCCTGAAACATGCCGTGAGGAAACTGGATTCTAAAATAAAGCCATTTCTTGTTTTCTTACGCAGCAATTTCATTGTAACCTCTACCAGTTCGAATTTTCAAAACGGCTTAATTCAGGATAATCTTCTGTACGATGTCATCTGGTAAACACTTTTCGCTAAACACTTTTTCAGGCACATTCCCTTTCTAACAGAATTGTTCCAGAATGAGGTAAGAAAGTAAGTTTCTGTGTACAGCTCTGAATATTAAAAGTTATAGTGTTTCAATCTACGTACGCTTTGTACTTTCTTGCTTAATTTTTTCAGTAGATGACCTAATGTCGTGGATGAATAATAAGATGGCCTATTACAAATGACTGGAGTGACAACATACGACTTCTGAAATTGATTTCACTTGATTTAATTATTTAACTACCTTCAAGGTGATTCCTCAGAAAAGAAGTTATTGGACAATTTTTTGTAAACTTTCCTTAAATGTTCCTTACCAATGTCTGTTTCGAAAAATACAATAAGAGAGATAGGTCATCTCGCTTGTTTAGGAGATATATGCGCCAAACTTACCCCATTTATGCCTGTACTGGCACTAATCATGTGCGTCATTTAATCGGTTCGCTGTACATTTTGCTGCAGCTGGAAAAAAACTTGATAGGTAGTAAGTCTCGAGTGTATGGAACAATTTGATATATAATTTGTGGGAATATTACGCAAATTTAAACGATATCGACTCAAAATGTTCCTCGAGTCATTCCTTTCAGGGTCATAATTTGCTTCATTGAGTAACGGGCTTTGTGCACCAAAATTATGGGAAATAAAACATACTTAGTCACTTTGCTCATTTAAGAGGTAAAGACCATTGCACCTCTTTACCTGGTCCATTGATTGATAAACAATACCATGTTCTCAGAATGCGCATGTGCTTATTGGCTTGATTATGTGATATTATGCACAGTACATGATGTGCAGTGCTATACTGAGGAATCACCTTAACCCTTTAACTCCTAAGATCTCATTAGTAATTCTCCTTACTGTCTGCCATATAGTTCTTGTGATGAAAGTTTGGAGAATTTGGTATTGGATCAACCAGTAATTCCCAAATTGTTATTTTTCTTTATTCTCATCACTTGTCTGCTTGATATTGTATTGATATTGTAAGGAGAAATTCTGTCTTGGTCACTCATGGGAGTTAAAGGGTAAAACTAGTCCAATTTGGCTGGGACAGCCTATGCATGATATATATGCAACCTTGAGAACTCAAGGTCTCACATGGCTAAACAATTATGAGGTTTGAAATGATTTGAATTGAGGCCAGTCATCTGTACATGTGTTGCTCTGTGTCAGAGTAGGCAAGATTTCTGTGTAACACATAGATCATTATACACACAGTTATAAGAACATAGAAACATTGGTATAAACAGTGCACTGATTTTAGGACTACATCTTTAAAGTATGGGGTTATAGGGAAATCTTTCCTTTAAGTGTTTGACTGTTCATCTAAAGGATTCTTTAACTCTTCTTGACCTGAGACATTTCCTTTGTCTTATGTACTTCAAATTTGATGATGATGATGATCAGGGTGTTCATCATACATTGTCACTTATCTAACTTTTAGGACTTTGGCTTTGTCATAGAATAATTGGGGGTTATATTTCTCCTCAAAGTGCTTGAGTGTTTATGTGAAGGATTCTTTAACTTGTCTGAAGCTAAAATATTTCCTTTGTCATATGCTTTTGAAATACAATGAGAGTTGATTGAATCAAAGAGCAGATTCTTTCAACCATTACACTCCCAAGATCTCATTAGTAATTCTCCTTACTTTCTACCCTAAAATTCCTATGATGTTAGTTTTGAGAATTTGTTATTGGATCAACCAATAATCCCCTAATTCATACTTTTCTTCATTCTCATCACTTGTCTCCTTGATTTCGTTTTGATATTATTATAATGATAAATTTTCACTCTTGAAAGTTAAAAGGTTAAATCTGTTGGGGTCTTCATTACACATTGTCACTTTCTTGTAAAAACTCAGATAGGATTTTTTGTTATATCCATTCTTTGGTCTTGGTAATTTTTCATAGAAAACATCTCTTTTGTGATAATAACAGTGATGATGATAATAATGATTCTTCCATTTTTTTGTTTTTGTTTTGTTTTTTACCTAAAAAGACTGCTGAGGTGTACATGGAGATCTTACTTTGTGATAATGAAGATGATGATGGTGTTGATTCTCTTTGTTCTCATCACTTGTCTCCTTGATATTGTTTTGATATTATAATTAGAAATTCTGTCGTGATTGCCATGAGAGTTAAAGGGTGAAATGTATAGGGGTCTTCATTACACTTAGAGACATTTCTTTTCTCTTAAAAACTCAGAGAGGTTTTGTGTTTCATCCATTTGTTGGTCTTGGTGATTTGTCATAGAGAAAATCCCTTGTTGTGAATGAAAAGCAACACAAGTATGCACTGCAGACCTATGTTGGAGTGCTTACAGTGTCCCTTAACAATCACAAATAAGCCGTGAGATAGATTTTTTGTTTCCCAATGCATTGCAGGCCTATTGTTTACTTTTTTTAATAATGACAAGAATACATGTAATAATAGCAATAATAACAATAATTCTCTAAGTGCAAACCAAAAGTGCTTACTACAATTTTGATATAAGTTCTTGCTTTATGTTTTCAGGCTTAGATTGCCTTTTATGAGAAAAAAAAAACTCTCTCACTGATGTGCAGCCATGAACAGAATATGTGATATAGTTTAGAAATCCTCACTTGCATTCACTGTGATTATTGTTATGTCTTCATATTTTTATTTCTTCAGAAAGAAAAAAATTGATGGTTTATTTGTTTGACAGGTCAGATGTTCTTCATTCAGTGTTGTTTCCCAATGCATTGCAGGCCTACTAGCAAAATAAATAAATAAAAATTCCAGATGCAATGTCAAATAGGCAAATTACTTTGGTAGACTATTTTTGATGATAATATAACTATGATAATAATATTTTTATGTTGTTGTCATGTATGTTGTAACAATTGTCTTCAACTTACCACTTGTGTAGCAATAAAATTTCTGTAAATCTACAGAAATGACTTTTTCAACGACCAAATTGGGTTCTTTTCCAGTCACACTGAAGATGTTCTGTACAGTATTTGTGGAATGGGTCAAGGCTGTGGTTGATGATGCACTAATTACTGACTAAGAGGATAACAAATTTTCTTCTCTCTATTATGGCTGGTGTCCTTTATAGGCATGATAGTATTTGTTTGAATAAATTTGTTGAGGAAACATGTAGGGGGAAATAATTCAATTTTTTTTATCTCTGATGGAAATTTAAGCAGTTTGGAAATCTTAATAAGTGTTACCAGTAGGTTATTTTGTAAACTTCACTAAGGTTTCTTTCCTTTGCACATGAGCAATTTAGCATTGTCGGAGTTAGTGTTTGTTCTATCTTTTAATTAGATGGTCAGGGGGATGGAATTCATTCCTGTTTACATTTCCCCTTCACAATCTACAACTTCCTTGGACATCTGCTTCCTCAGAATATCTCATCCATCCATTCTTGCTAGTTTGTATACTTCAAGAGCAAAGTGCTTAAATATAGGACCACTTTGCATTAAAATGATACATATTGACTTACTCGTTGTTGTTTTCTCACAGAAACAGTCAGAAGAGAGACTTAAGGTGAGATGTCTCATGAATCCAGTAAAGTTGATATGAGCCAGGTGTGAGACAAGCATATTGGCTGAAAAGGAACAATTCCAGAACAGAGCAGAAAACATGTGTGGAAAAGTATGGTGTAGTTTGTGGACTCAAAGATGGCTTTGTATCCAGTAACAAAGAGCAAACAACCTACCATGACACATGAACCTTGTAACAGCCTTTGTCAAGAGAGAGTCTCTGTGGCTCAGTGTCCGATTGTGGGGTTGATTCAGAAAGTCTGAGATTTGATTCCCCATCAGGATTGTTATGTCCCCTACTTGTGATGCAACAAAAAACATCCTTCTTGATCATATTAAACCAAACTTGCTTTGTATTCATTTTATGCCCTTGCAAGCAACTGAAACAAGATTTCAACCTATTGGTGATATAAATAATCCTCCATTTTGTTTAGATCTTTAAATTTTCACCTGCTCCTAGAGTTCACACTCCTAAGATATAGAACTCATTCAAAACTTAACTTACTCAATTATGGCTTATTTGAGGGAAAAGGCACAGTATTAGCATCAGCCAAGCAATCTATTTTCTGATATGTTAGTTAACCCTTCAACTCCCAAGATCTAATTGCTAATTCTCCCCTCAAGCTGCTACACATTTCTTTGTAAGTTAGTTATGAGAATTTGATGTTAGATCAAGACAACAACTTCTACCTGAGTATTCTTATTACCTTTTTGCCAAGTAATATATGGATATTATAGGGAGAAGTCACATGTTAGTTACTTCTGGGAGTTAAGGTTACTTCCCACCTTCAGAGACAATGGGTTACTTTTCGCAGGAAATCTTGATCCACCATCATTGATGCCAGGAGGTCCCTTTGTCCTATTGGTGTGCAGTTTCAGGAGGTGAGATAATCTCCTGGCATGGCACAAGTTGTTTGTGAACCTTTAGGAGCTAAAATCTCATGTTTGATATAGGGAGGAATACAACAACTTTGAGCAAATTTATAGGATGTATAGATTTGATCGATTTTCATCAAATTTCCCCAAAGCATCCTAGGAATAATGACAAAGGAAAGTGTGTTGAGAAATTTTGATATTTGAAATATTTGTCTTGTGGAGTCCATTTACGCAACACATCTCAAATATTTTTAGCTAGTCTAACTTTATATGCCGATATCAACTCAACCAATCAGAATATCGAAAAAGCCAGACACACTCTTGTTGATTGATGCCTTGTGAATGAGACTGCAGCCATTTTGCTCATGCAGCAGCATCCAATGCCCGATAAATTCAATAGAAGAACCTTTGGTTGCTTTATGCCTTACTGGCTTCTGACACTTCCTCAAAGAAAAGTTGCTTAAGTTATATTTTTATAGTAATCTGCATTTATTAAGCTTTCCTCTGATATATGGTTTTTCCTATGATTTTGGTTAAACTAGCAAATGAGTTTTAAAATTTTTAAACTTTCCCAAAAGACACCAGCAAAGCTGGGAAGTAACCTAAACTCTTTAACTCCCAGATCAAATTTCTAATTCTCCTTAATGTCAACCATACAATTCCTATAATGTTAGTTCAGACAATTTAGTATTGGATCAACTAATTATTTCCAAATTGATATTTTTCTTTAATCTCCTCACTTATCTGGTTGATATTGTGTTGATATTATAAGGAGAAATTCTGTCTTGGTCACTCGTGGGAGTTAAAGGGTTAAAGGATTTAGAATTATCTTGACCTTGTAGTTGTTCATTTCCTGGGATGTCAGCTGAAAGGATGATGGAATCTACCTCCTCTAAGCTGATGAACTTAATTCTCATTACTTGTTTATTCAACAATGCACTTATGTTTTCAGGGGAAGTTGCATTTTCATCACTTTTGGTAGCTAAATGGTTCAGTGTGGAAAATGAATTGTGAAAGTTGGCTGGTATGAAGTGACATAAGGAGGAGCATCAGGGATAGGAGAACCTAAGGAAAACCTAGAGGAGGGAGGGTGGAGGAACTATGGCTTGTCTCTCTCTCCCTCTCCCCCCCCCCCCCCCCTTCACCATCATTTCACTTTCAAATGGCACACAGTCCTTAGCACAAATCAAATCTCTCTCCATAGACTCTTGCCCTTCAGCCCCCATACTACATCAAAATTCAATATGGTCATTCCAAAACAGGGGTAGTTTGGTGATGAAGTTTCTGAGCTGTTGAATACAGTTGGCTGTGAGTCAATGTAAAAATGATAACGAGAGGCAAAACACAAGGAAAGATTAATGAAGGCCAAAACACCAAAAGAGGTACTGAAAAAAAAAATCAATGTGACAGGATTGTGAACTTGTGGATAAACTCTGCCGAAAACAATTGTTTAGTGTATTTTGTCAGACCAAGTCTAAGGTTGCAAAATAAATCTGGGAATTAACTCCAACAATCCAATCCAATTCTCAGTTGTATTTATTTACACTTATTTTAGTAAAATAATAAATTTCACTTAATTAACAAAACTGAAAAATCAGAGAAAAATAAGAAATGCAAAAGTACTTCAAATAAGAGAAAAATGTGTAGTGATCACAGGAACAAAAACTTTCAAGTTGGCCAAAGAATAAGTAGGCCTCCTAAGAATCAATAAGTTTTTAGTGCCCACTGACGATTAGGAACAAAAGTCTGCCATCAGTAACAAAATCTCATCACTAATTATAATTTTCCCTAACAGATCCTTTTGATGAACCAATTTAAAACATCATATCAACAACTTCTTTAGCATTTACCTTTTCCTGAAAGTTCTAAAAGATTAAAATATGACAATACTGACCTCCCCACCAAACCCCCAAGGTAAAGGAAAAAATACATAGAAAACTGCCACTTGTGCATCATCATACTCAACAAAGCCATGCATTCCTGGTTTGTGATTTTGTTTTCCTACAGTATTCCAACTATCTTTTTGATAATATCAGTTATCTTTCTGCTCTGAATTCTGGGAGATTGTTTCATTGATATCTTAGGAATTGTTTTTACTCATCAGTTTGACTTTGGCAGTAATATTTTGTGCAATGCTTGTTCTCCTTTTCTCCTGTTTTTTTACCTAACAACTCACAAAACAAGTTAGAGTTTAGTTTTGGTGTTTTCTGATTGCGATCCAAAGGAAACTTTACCAAAGTTCTCATATTAGTAAACATTTAGTTAATTTCATGCTTTCAATTTTTTCATGCTGATTCATTTTAGTCCCCTTAATAGGTCTGAGGGCTGAAATGCAGCTTTCAGTGTCACTAGCTTTCGATTCAGCCTTATTTGCAAGAGCATTCAAAAATAACCATTTATCTACAATAAAATGAAAAATGTCTGTTCAAACTAATACCAGTGTCCATTCAAAAACAATGTGCAGGAAAGATAATCTTTGTGCAGGATCAGTTGTTACTCTGTTTCTTCTCTGCTTCATTGTTGTCCTCCTTGTGTTCCTCTTTCCTGAAACAAACATAATACAATTTCAACTCTAAAGCATTATATGGATCAGAATTTCTAAAAGATTCAAAGTAGCTAGACACACAGCTCAAATAGCTATCAACTTCAAAGTCATTAGGTAGCTTATATCTCTCAAGTTGCTTTCATTGCATTTACTTTGGCCTGTCTATCATCCTCTTGGGCTTCCGTTTGAAGAATAATTTCTGAAGATTTCGCACACTAAAGCAACTTTGATTCAAGGCCAATTTTGAAAATGATTCATCAAAATCTTCTGGTTCTGTGGGGGAGGGGGGGGAGAAGGGGGGTCTAAAGAATATTATGGAGCCTTACAGGGGATCAGGTGAATTTTACTGGGAGACAACCAAAATCCTCGAGCAGCCCCCAACCCCCCCCCCCCCCACCCTGCTGAACAGTCCCTAAGATAGCTAATGTTGGGTAACGTAAGGTAGCTAATGGAAATTTCTTATCAGAACTAGACCTACCCGATGTATGTAAAATCCAACGTCACGTTGTCTCCCATCAGCACAAATGGAGCCCATTGATTAGGTTTGGGAAAGCCGTTGCTTCTCAACCATTTTACGGCCTGGTGAAGAGATTCACTGGCACTTTCTCCACGAACAAGGTGCTTGTAGAAATGATTCATGAGCTGCTCCGTTGCTTCGTCTTCTATGGCCCACGATGCTACCAACACTGAACGTGCACCGGATGCTAAGAATGCACGAGCGATTCCAAGAACTCCTTCGGCTTTGACCAATCCACGCGCACTGTGACAACAGCTCAATACAACCAGTTTTGCTCGCACTTGAGTTCCGAAAATGTCGGACATTGTCAAGAGGTAGTCTTCTTCTTGTGGAAAACTGTTGGTGGTACATTTAGGACATTTAGGCGACAGGGCAATCTCTCCTCTTTCGGCATTTCCATGTGCGGCAACATGTATGAGACTCACTGAAGGTATCGCTTGAAGCACTGCCTGCTTAGTTGCAGACTCTCCTAACAAAGGCTGAACTCCCAACAGTCGACCAACCATCTCTGCTTCCTCTCTAGCACAGGACAATGGTACAAAGTTAGCGACACGTCCATTGTAATACACCTGGCCAACCGTAGGATCACCCACTACAAGTGCACCAGTTTCACTGTGATAATCCGCTGGACAATCTTGAATGAGCCGGAGGGTCGTTAGGGAAGGGATGATACGGATTCTGTAAGTCTCTGATAGATACTTTCCGGCTGCTCCATCACGCAAGGCAGCAAATGGGACTCGATACGAGAAACGATACGGCACAATGATGATTTCAGGCTCTGTAAGTAAATCTACCACAGGAGCGATGATCCATTTGTAACACAAATGATGAATTCTTTCGGTTTCTTTGCTTTCGTCACCGCGCAAAGTTGCTCGGCTCTCTTCAAAAAGAGATGTCGTTACGTTGCCATCCAAAGATCGATCTTCGCAATTCGCTGTGAATAAAACGCCAAAGCTGGCGGCGCTCTTTTTGAAAATTCCCTCCACGTTGCAAACTTTCTCAGGAATGAGAGTGCTGTCTTTCACTTTGTCGGTGACTCGAAAGGAAATGTCTCCATTTGCTTTCAAAACCCAGAGACAAACTTGCCGCTCAAGATACGAAATGTACAAAAAGACACAGTTACTCTCCTTTTTCACGATGTTTTCAATCCCGAACCATGATTGTGGATCAGCTGAGATGTGGCTTTCAACGGAGAACTTCTCTGCCATGCATTCTACGAGGACTCTCGCTCGTCCCAGCTCCTCGACATAAAGAGCGTCTTGAAATTTGCCAGTATTGCAAAGCAAGCTAGTGAGCAAGTGATAAGGAAAACTACCGTGCGCTTCTAACAGGGATATTTCAAACTCTTTGTTTCCTTTAAGAAAACTCCTCAATTGTTCATATTTTCCAATACATTGAAGGAGATGTTCCTTTGCCTCCACAACCTGTGACTGCGATACCTTTAACTGTGTGATGCTGAGAAGGCTTTGAAACTCAGTCAGTATGTCTCCAATTCTACTGCTTATGGAGCGAGCCTTCTCTAAGTAATCTTCTGCCTCGTCGCATTCACCAAGCGATCTAGATAGATTTCCGAGGTTGAGGTAAATTTGTCCTTCCAGAGCTTTATCGCCACATTCCTTGCTGATGGTGAGCGCCTTCTGATAATGTTCTTTTGCTTTCTGATTGTCATTGATAAAAGCGAACACTGCTGCCAAACCTGCGGAAGCGCATCCTTCATTTATTCTTTGTCCAATTGCTGTACTGATGCTGAGTGCTTTGTCGAAATATTCTTTAGCTTGACGATATTTCCTAAGGCTGCAGTAAACGTTTCCAAGGGCTAAGTATCCTGAACATTCCTTTCCTCTGTCTCCTATTTCTTTTGCGATGGCGATTGCTTTCTCGGAATATTCTTTGGCCTTCTGATATTCGCCAAGGGATTCAAACACACCTCCGAGGTTCCCGTATGTTGTTCCTTCTCCATTTCTGTCGCCGATTTCTATCGCGATGGCAATTGCTTTCTCGTAATATTCTTTGGCCTTCTGATATTCGCCAAGGGATTGAAACACAGCTCCGAGGTTCCCGTATGTTGTTCCTTCTCCATTTCTGTCGCCGATTTCTATCGCGATCGCCGAATATTCTTTGGCCTTCTGATATTCGCGAGGGCAATTTCTATCGCGATGGCAATTGCTTTCTCGTAATATTCTTTGGCCTTCTGATATTCGCCAAGGGATTGAAACACAACTCCGAGGTTCCCGTATGTTCTTCCTTCTCCATTTCTGTCGCCGATTTCTATCGCGATGGCAATTGCTTTCTCGTGATATTCTTTCGCCTTCTGATATTCGCCAAGGGATTGAAACACATTTCCGAGGCTCCCGTATGTTGTTCGCCAAGGGATTCAAACCAAGGGATTGAAACACACCTCCGAGGTTCCCGTATGTTGTTCCTTCTCCATTTCTGTCGCCGATTTCTATCGCGATGGCAATTGCTTTCTCGTAATATTCTTTGGCCTTCTGATATTCGCCAAGGGATTGAAACACACCTCCGAGGTTCCCGTATGTTGTTCCTTCTCCATTTCTGTCGCCGATTTCTATCGCGATGGCAATTGCTTTCTCGTAATATTCTTTGGCCTTCTGATATTCGCCAAGGGATTGAAACACAGCTCCGAGGTTCCCGTATGTTGTTCCTTCTCCATTTCTGTCGCCGATTTCTATCGCGATGGCAATTGCTTTCTCGTAAATATTCTTTGGCCTTCTGATATTCGCCAAGGGATTGAAACACAGCTCCGAGGTTCCCGTATGTTGTTCCTTCTCCATTTCTGTCGCCGATTTCTATCGCGATGGCAATTGCTTTCTCGTAATATTCTTTGGCCTTCTGATATTCGCCAAGGGATTGAAACACAGCTCCGAGGTTCCCGTATGTTGTTCCTTCTCCATTTCTGTCGCCGATTTCTATCGCGATGGCAATTGCTTTCTCGTAATATTCTTTGGCCTTCTGATATTCGCCAAGGGATTGAAACACAGCTCCGAGGTTCCCGTATGTTGTTCCTTCTCCATTTCTGTCGCCGATTTCTATCGCGATGGCAATTGCTTTCTCGTAATATTCTTTGGCCTTCTGATATTCGCCAAGGGATTGAAACACATTTCCGAGGCTCCCGTATGTTGTTCCTTCTCCATTTCTGTCGCCGATTTCTATCGCGATGGCAATTGCTTTCTCGTAATATTCTTTCGCCTTCTGATATTCGCCAAGGGATTGAAACACAGCTCCGAGGTTCCCGTATGTTGTTCCTTCTCCATTTCTGTCGCCGATTTCTATCGCGATGGCAATTGCTTTCTCGTAATATTCTTTGGCCTTCTGATATTCGCCAAGGGATTGAAACACAACTCCGAGGTTCCCGTATGTTGTTCCTTCTCCATTTCTGTCGCCGATTTCTATCGCGATGGCAATTGCTTTCTCGTAATATTCTTTGGCCTTCTGATATTCGCCAAGGGATTGAAACACAATTCCGAGGCTCCCGTATGTTGTTCCTTCTCCACTTCTGTCGCCGATTTCTATCGCGATGGCAATTGCTTTCTCGTAATATTCTTTGGCCTTCTGATATTCGCCAAGGGATTGAAACACAGCTCCGAGGTTCCCGTATGTTGTTCCTTCTCCATTTCTGTCGCCGATTTCTATCGCGATGGCAATTGCTTTCTCGTAATATTCTTTGGCCTTCTGATATTCGCCAAGGGATTGAAACACAGCTCCGAGGTTCCCGTATGTTGTTCCTTCTCCATTTCTGTCGCCGATTTCTATCGCGATGGCAATTGCTTTCTCACAATATTCTTTCGCCTTTAGATACTCGCTGAGGATTAAACAAAGAGATCCAAGTCTCGCGTAAGCCACTGCCTCTTCTCTACGGTGGCCAATCGCTTTCATGATGGTAAGAGCGCTTTTACAAAGTTGCTTTGCCTCTGCAAACCAACATTTTGCCTTGTATTTGTCTCCCAGTTGTATGGTTAGTTCTCCAGCGAGGAAAAACTTGTCAATAAGTTTTGTGGTGTATCGTGCTGCATTTGTGTAACCAGAGGTGGCGTAGAACACATTGAATAATACATCAGAGATATCATGATCAAGGTCAATACCAGAGTCAAGTTTGTGAAGTAGAAATAAACATTCATTACATAACTCGGTCGCTTGTAGGCCACGATCAGTGTTAAGGAGAAATATGGCGACATCCAAACCAATCTGGACTGACTTTAGGATTTCTGCTGCGTTATTCATTACGTCATGTCCTGAATGTTAAAAGAATTTCCCCAAACGTGAGAAAAGAATCAACAAAAACTAAGACTTTCTATAGATGCATGAGCGCCTCTTGTCTTTCTTGTTTAATTCAAGACAAGCTCTATCAATTTTTTTAACCAATTGATCGTCGGTTAATCCATTGATCGTGCTATGCTGGCGTTCAACTCACTGATTATTTATTTTTTACATGCCACACAATTAATTAGAACTGAATCTGGTCGCAGTTTTCTGTTTGAAAGTGACTTCCACTTACATTCATTAGAGGGTGAATCAAAATTAGCACCCTTAGCCGTTAAAATTTAAATTCAACTCAAAGCATTGTTAAATTGGTGTTTGTGTAACAAATTAAACGACATTAAATATGTTGAATCTACATCAACATTATCATTTTTGGAACTTCTACTGGGTAGACATTGTGAATAGAACGGGACCATTTTAGTGGGAGTGTATTCTACACGACGCGTCTCGCGCGTGCATTCATGTCATTCACACTGACCTCTGCAACTCGCTGTATCTGCCTGATAGGTGAAAGAACTTTCCTGAATAATGCTTTTTGCTCAGGAAGAAGATTTCCTCGGACTTCTAACTGCAACAGATGGCATTTATGTTATTGATACGTTTTGGTTTTGAAGAACAATTTTGATTTTTCCTGAAGAATCCTATATCTGTGATTTCTATCAGGAGAGAAGATGAAAGCGCAAGCTGTCCCTTCTTTCTTAGTGGACGGTAAGTGGCTGAATTTTTTTTGTAGGACTATGAAGGAGCTAGGTTCTTCTTTCCCATCCCTTGTGCTCACCCGTTTCGCCCTCATGCACCCCCCTATCACTCGCTCCAGCCGAGTGAGCGGCTTAAATCGGAAAGATTTTTACCGGATTAGATTTTCAATTTAGAATTGAAAATTACTTGAAAGAATACAGTACATATAAACCTTCAACAACAGAAAAATTAAACGAGATAGATGTTTCCTTTTTTGTCCTTTTTTTTTAAAATATTTTGCCTACCTGAATGTATCCTCAAATTTTTTAAAATCGTTCTCTTCATACTTTATGGCAAGAGATTATAAAATTTTGGTTATGGTAGTTTTACCAATGTTGATATTTTTTACCCGCGCAGCCAGGATGGTCAACATGCGAGAAGGTTTTCTTGCTTTACTTTGGTAATCTATTTTGATAACTCTTGCAGTCACGAAAACTTTCAATTGTCTTTGATATTTCTGTATTTCATTGCAGTATCATACCAAAGCTATCAAATTGACTTTCAAAATCCAGGGACTTAATTTGCCTCTAATCTCTTGTTCTTCACTAAATTCCACTGTACTTAAATCTGATTATGAATCGAGACAAATCAAAACATCTTTCATTGATCTAGGGACGTTCTTCTACGCCACACAGATCTTGTGTCGTCTGGTAGCAGAAATATTTGATGGAAATAAATTCAATATCCGTCGTGGTTTCCTACGCTTATCTCGTGTTCTGGAAAATGAAACCAACAATAAAGAGCCTCCTTCTTTAGTCTCCCGATGGTGTGAAAAAAAAAACATAAGTAAGAGAGTGAAATGAGACTTTAACTGTGTTTACATCAGGAAATAAAAAAACATTGTTAAGTTATGTAAGTACGAAACCATGCTTCTCGCACTTTCGAGTCTTATAACTCAGAAATGCTCGAGGAACAAGCTTTTTTACTTCGTTTGTAAAATGTATCGTGAATTGCGCGCGCTCGTACTGTTGACGTTGGCTGCGTGCATTATATCTCATTATAAAATAATTCAAAATGAACGCGTTCTGACCAGGCCATAAAACCACGGCGTATGTAAACACGCGTTCCTCTTTCATTTCTCTGAAAATTTTATAATATATATAAAATAACATACGGGATTTTCGTATTTTATATAATATATAAAGAAATGATGATGGAAATGTAGTTTCTCCTTACAATATCAAGATACCTTACAGAAATCAAGTGGTGAGAGTAAACAGATCGATCAACAAGGTTTTATGTCTATCATTAAGATATAGCAAATCTAGATTTTAGCGCTAAATATTTCTGAAATAAACTTTAAGCCGCTCACCTTTGGAAAAGAAAGGATATCTGGATAGTTAGGAAACCGAAGCAAGATATGAAATTATCTGTACAAAGAAAAGACGAGTACAAAGAGTTACTGCTGGATCGAATATTAAAATGATCGGTTTAAATAATTGTTATAAAAATCTAAAGGATGGATGTTGGAGTACAACTTGCTCGTAAGATCGTCAGTAAATATTGCAGCTCCTCGCATATCATTGATAAGAGCTTAGTGGTTTTAATCGCGCTTTGACCGAGTTTTTAGACTTTCAAGCCACAGAAGTGAGGAATATTTTGCTTTTCTTTATAATATCAACATTTCATCCAGTGAATAGGTGGCGAGAATAAGATACAATACCAGATTCTCCCTAATGACTAGCAAGGTAACGTAAAGGAGCTTGAAGGGAGAATTGCTTATAAGATAAACTTTGGTTAGATTGTTTGAAACAATAAAAAGTCATACATCATTAAATTTCCCCATCATCACATCAGCTACTCATAAAGATATTTCAATATTTTTATAGCGGGAAAAGAATGATTGTTGCTAAATTTAGTTTTTCAGCTGTAAAGCTTTGAAAAAATAAACATGGGCTGTTCAGGGTGCTTATTGTTTATGTGATGAGACTGATTGCAAGAAACAGATAAATGCAAGTAGCTCAGTTATGAACGAAGTGCTGAGTTTGATTGGTTAATAACATCACTGAAAAAGTAAGTCTACGACGTGTAAACATAACTTCTTAGTTACGCCATGAGGTGCATTGTACATTATTGTGGCTTTTTCTTTTTTTCGTTAGAATTTGCTGTTCTTGAATTTGATTTCTGTTGTGACTGATTTGAGGCGGCGAAAATAGTTTTGAAAACGGGAAAGGAAAGAAAAATTAATTTTTCATTTGGCATCTTACCCTCGCACAAAGAAGAGTGTCTTGTTTAGTATTCTGACCGTATGACTTGGAAACAAGGAAAAACCAGAAACTGAAATCACCAGAAACCATTGACGGAAATAATGCTTTTGCTGCAAAATGCTGATGATGATGATAACAACAGCTAGTGTGAAAAAAAAATCTAAATCGGGAAACTTTATACAGCTTTTCCATACAAATACAGAGAAAATATTCCATCTTTAATCTTATTCTGTCACTCACAGGCTGACTTTTAAAAGAAACTATTCAACTAATATCAAAAGTTGGTTTTTCTTGATGTAATACTATATTCTCTTAAATCATTCACAATAACATCGTAGCACTTTAAAAGGAAAGTTAGAAATTAGATCATGGAAGACAAAGGCTTCATGTTGGATGAACCGTTTTATTTTCTAGACTATTACAAGTTTAAGACAAAAATTTTCAGTAAAAAATCTTTACCAAAATCTGAGATTTTTTCGAGGCTACAAAAATTTCCTATGCCATCGAATGCTCATTGCAAAACATTTCAGTTTATAAAGCGGGAAATATTGTTTCTAAATCGATACCTTTTACTGCTCACCTTCTAAAAGTGTCGTGACAAGTATTCTGATGGTGTGACTGATAAAACCAAGGATGAGAAACTGAAATAAAACGTTCTCTGCAAAACAAAGATAAATGCAAATAGCTGATGTGAGAAAGAAGTGAAACATTGATCGATAAAAAGAATAAATAATATTTTAAAACAAAGAGGGAACAACGGACAACAAGAGTAAAGATTAAGTTCAATTTAATAAAAAAAAGAATGGCCGTTAAAGAAACCCAACATCCATTGCTTTCCATCTTCTCTTTGAACTAAACGCGCAAACAGATTTTCCCGCCATGAATAAATATGAAATTTAATTCGGTGTGCGATTTGTATATGCATCTACGCTATGCTACCATCGACACTGAAAAGCTTTAAGTACCCACGGCAATGAGGGTAAAAAGATTAGACGTAACACAACCTGCATTTCACAAAAAGAATAATGGCTTCAGATATGCCGAATATTTTCAGAAAAATATTTTAATTTCAATTGGCCGTATTTTACCCATTTCTTACAATGGTATCGCCAACAGCATTACTTTTCCCGTCTTTCTGAACTGATTTGAACGTTGTTTTGCCAAAGATAACGAAAAAAACGTAACTACATTTCACATTTGTAAACTTCTAGGGAGTTTTTGACACATGCGTTTTGATCGTTTATCCAGTCGTTCGACATTAATTAATGAAACCAATTTGATTCAGCTCGGCAGAACCACCGAGTTAAAAGCCCTCTAATTCTTACCATGCCGAAGATTTTTAATCCTTGTGATATAAAATGATCTAAATAATAAAGATAATTTTTGCAGAACTACGTTCCTCTATAGCAAGTCATAATGTTTCTCATATCAATCATTTCATTATCAAATGTCTTTGTAAGGATAGCTCTAATTACAAAGGCATCGAAATACGTATTGTTAAATTGATAATATAGCCCATTCGAATGATGGAACATCTTACTCACCACGAATTCAACTTTGAATGCTTTGTTGCTTTGTAAAGTGAAGCAGCCAACTTTAGAATTAGAATCAGCAGCATATGTCTATTTTAGTTAGATTACAAGTGGCGAATCTTAGCTCACCTCTGAAGGGCAGAAATTGAAGGCTCTTCCCTCCAACCACGTGGTCTGGATATTCTGTTGATTACTTGACTCAACTGAAAGCCCGTGGGGAAGACCTCCACCTTCAGTCTGATCAGAGTGGGAGTTGTACCTCTTGAAGCCTTCAGTTTATTTACATCGGTCTTCCAACGGCTCCAAAAGGGAATTCACCATTGCCATAAAGTTGCGTTACTTAAGAAAGTGCGTCACGCCATTGTGAGTCCTTTTTATGGTGCAAAGAATTTCCTTTAAGTAGATGGAAATTGCTTTACAGAGCTGACAAAAATAACGAGGTGAAAATAAAACAGCGGAGAAAACGGATGGCTGAACTTGGAGG